TGGGCCAACCTATTTCTTTTATTCTATTGCCCTTTAGGATCTATTACATTGATTTAGTTGGTAGTGATTCCACAGTTTAGAAAGCATTTCATTTCTTCATTGTAATAACAAAGGCTTTTTTTAAAAATCACTTGCTACATTACCTTTCTCAAAAAAAAAAAAAAAAGCAGCATTGCTTTCTCAAATACTCCCTGTGGGAGGACCCCTCATTATTTTTAGTGGCTTGGGAGGTTCTGAACCCTACTCTTTTTCTAAGAAATCACTTAAGCTAATGCTTCAAAGTCTTTCAATCCTGCAGTAAAGATGCCTGTCTATCCCAAAATTATTTGCCTGTTACCCAGATGTCTGTTTAGACAAGGATTTATGGAAAAACAAGACAATTAAGGGAACCCATTCTGAAAGCTGTAATACTGTGAGCACTGCTGCTATTACTGGCAGTCTGTCTTATCTCAGAGCAAACACTTCAGATCCAAGTGCCCCTTGGATCTCTATGATGATAGCGAAAGGAGCTGCCTTGATTTTTGTCTCTCCGCCCACTGCAGTACACAGGATTCCTGCGGGGACTGAAATACTACAGTCATTGACTTTCAGGATCGCATTGGCAGCTAAAAGGTTTGAAAATTATTTAACTTAAAAGAAACATATGTCATCTGAGCAAAATACCATGGTTTTGAAAGAAATACCATTTGTGTCACTTCTGTTGGCAAATATTCCTTGTTGCTGAGAATGCAAACTGTCAAATCACAGAAAAATCTGAGCTGCCAGAATAAAAGCCAAGTAAGCCATGGCAAAAAAATAAAAAAGCATAATTGTTCTAAGCTAATTAAATAGGTAATTGAGCAAATAAATTCAGCAGTCAGATAAAGAGCATCTCTGAGGCAAAATGTACTCCAGACGCCGAGAAAGAATGTCTGTATCCTGAATTTCAGCCAGTCATCAACCGCATTCTTTGCAGAGTTGCTCTTCCGCAGCCACTAGAACAGTCAATCCTTAGCCCAAAGTGACTCTCTGTTATTCTCAGAATAAAGATGTCATACCAAGCATTCCTTGTTGTCTACACCCTGCTCATTTCTTTGGCTTCAATTCTTCTTAAATTTTATTTATTTTCACTTTAATTGAAAGTCAGAAAGAGAGAAAGAGAGATCTTCCATTTGGTGGTCCACTCCCCAAATGCCTTCCAAGAGCCAGGGTGGACCAGGCTGGGACTAGGCTAAAGCCAGAGACATGGACCTCAATCCAGGTGTTCCAGCTGGGACCCAAGAGCTTGAGTCATCGACTGCTGCCTCCCAGGGTGCTCACTGGCAGGAAGTTGGATCAGAAGCAGACCAGCCAGGACACAAACCAGTGATGACTTAAGTGGGCAAAGCACTCTTGTTTGGGCTTTAATTCTTACTTCTCCTTTTTCTAGCGCTTTTTAAAAAACTGACAAATAAAAATTGTATATATTCATCATGTACAGCATGATGTTTTGATTGTGTTTACCTGGTGGAATATTTAATTAACATATGCTTTGCCTCACATGCTTATTTTTTATGCTGAGAACACTTGAAATTGACTCTCTCGGTGACATTCAAAATACAATTTTTGATATTTTCTGTAGTCACTGTGTTGTACAAAAGCGCTCTAGAGATTATTCCATCTACCTAACCAAAATGTTCTATTCTTTGGCCAAAATCTCCCAAACATCTATTATCCTAGGCCCTGGTAACTACCATCCTATTTTCCATTTCTTTGAGTTCAACTTTTAAAAATTTAACATCCAAGTGCAGTATTTATCTCTCCTTGCCTGACTTATTTCACTTAATATTGTGTCCTCCATGGTCGTCCCTGTTGTTGCAAGTGACAGGATTTCCTTCTCTTTTTAAAGTTTTATTTATTTTCATTTTTATCTGAAATGAGAAATGAGAGCAATTTTCCATCCTCTGATTTATTCTCCAAAGGCCCCAAATAGCCAGGATTGTGTCAGGGCAAAGGCAGGAGCTCAGAACTCCATCTGGGTCTCCCAGTTGGATGGTAAGGACCCAGACACTTTAACCATCATCTGTTCCCTACCTGGGGCCATATCTTCTTTGCCCAGTCATTTGCTGATGGGCACTTAGGGTAATTCCTATTCTGGCTGTTGTATGTGATGCTGCAATGCACGTGAGTGTGCAGGTGGCTCTTTGACATACTGATTTCATTTCCTTTGGATTTATCCCCAGCACTGGGATTGCTGAATCATACGACAGCTCTATTTTTAATTTCATTCTGTTTCACTTAATGCTTCAGTACTGCTGAACTTCTTTGAGCTTCTTGCTCATAACACAATGCTCACGGGATGCTTTTCTCCCACTCTCACACAGCACTTTAAGGCCATCTCTGGCCTAACTTATTTCTGGAAACTTGCCTGGGCTTCTCATTCCCATTCTTGTGGATCTTGGTCTTGTTTTCTGTCTTTTCAAAACACAAAATCTTTATCACCAATCTTACTACATTATTTAAATCGTTTGTACGCAGTTCCCTTCTCCCACACCAGATTGTGAGTTCCCTTGAAGATGAGAAATATATTATCTCTGGTACATCTTTGGGTCTCTTGTAACTGACAGCACATAACGGATGCTTCATAAAGGTATGAATGAAAAATACAATAAGTTCTAGGATGCTCTATTGACTTTATTTATATGCAAGATGGTGCCAAAGACATTTTAGACATTCAGAAACACAGTTTGAGTGCTATTTAATGAATCACATAAATAAATGACACAACTAAGATAGAATAACTGCCTTTTGGAGTTAACATGCTTAAGAGAATATAACATCTTGTAATAGGTGGTATGGTAGAAGTATTTTCAAAGAACTTTGAAATTCAGCTGAATGCCATTGAATAGTTCTGCCTTAGGGAATTAAGGCTTTACTGAGCATATGATAATCCAATTGAATTGGCCCACAATAACACTCAGGTTTTAAAGATTTCTTTTATTTGTTTATTTGAGAGGTGGAGTTACAGACAGAGAAAGGGAGAGACAGAGAGAAAGGTCTTCCATCTGCTGGTTCACTCCCCAAATGGCCCACAATAGCTGGAGCTGGTCTGACCTGAAGCTAGGAGCTTCTTCTGGGTCTCCCACACAGGTACATGGGCCCAAGCACTTGGGCCATCTTCCACTGCCCTCCCAGACCACAGCAGAGAGCTGGATCAGAAGAGGAGCAGCAGGGACTTGAACCGGCACCCATATGGGAGCCTGTGCTGCAGACAGTGGCTTTACCTGCTATGCCACAGCACTGGCCCAACATGCAGATTTTAAGTGACTTTGAAGTTAGATGAACCTGACTTTGAATCAGTTTATCCCTCTGATCTTGAACAAATTAGTAATTTAGCTGAGTTTCAGTGCTCTTATCTTTAAAAGGCCATAAAAATCTTTTCTACCTCATTGGATTGCCATGAGTATTAAATGAGACAATTTAAGCTTAATACAATACCTGGCATATGATAAGTACTCAATAACTAGTAATTATTCTAGTATTATAACTAGACTGAATTACACATTATATAAGGAGCAAATCTGAAAAGGGATTGGGGGAGAAATTCTAAAGATTGGAGTGGGGTATGGGTGTTAGAAAACACGCAGTATGTGCAGGGGGAAGTGGCAAGTTAAGCTGGAACTCAATTCAATCCAATTATCTGAAAACCCAAGCTATTATCATTTTTTTTTTTTGACAGGCAGAGTGGACAGAGAGAGAGAGAGACAGAGAGAAAGGTCCTCCTTTGCCGTTGGCTCACCCCGCAATGGCCGCCGCAGCCGGCGCGCTGCGGCCAGCGCACCGCACTGATCCGAAGGCAGGAGCCAGGTACTTATCCTGGTCTCCCATAGGGTGCAGGGCCCAAGAACTTGGGCCATCCTCCACTGCACTCCCTGGCCACAGCAGAGCTGGCCTGGAAGAGGGGCAACCGGGACAGAATCCAGCGCCCTGACTGGGACTAGAACCCAGTGTGCCGGCGCCGCAAGGCGGAGGATTAGCCTAGTGAGCCACAGCGCCAGCAGCTATTATCATTTAAAAAATGCAAGGAAAAAAAAAAAAAGGCCAGCACCGTGGCTCACTTGGCACCAGCACCCCAGGTTCTAGTCCCATTTGGGGCGCTGATTCTGTCCTGATTGCTCCTCTTCCAGTCCAGCTCTCTGCTGTGGCCTGGGAAGGCAGTGGAGGATGGCCCAAGTGCTTGGGCCCTGCACCCGCATGGGAGACCAGGAGGAAGCACCTGGCTCCTGGCTTCAGATCGGTGCAGCACGCCGGCCGTAGCAGCCATTTAGGGGGTGAACCAATGGAAAAGGAAGACCTCTCTGTCTCTCTCTCTCTCTCACTAACTCTGCCTGTCAAAAAAAAAAAAAAAAAAAAAAAAAAGATGTAAGGCATAGTCTGGCGGAATGATGTTGGATTTCGAGATTAAGGAGACTCATCTAGTCTAAACTCAACCATTCTGTAACTCCACCATTTAGCTCCACTCAACTTGAATTTCTTCATCAGTAATGAAAGGACATCAAAACTGAGCCATGTCAGGTACTCCTTCCACTACCACCCCTCCTTATCCCCATGATAGTTATTACCAGTGAATTTCCTTTATCATCAATGTGGAGTGGAGCCTTAGTATTCTTCTCTACAGTTTCCCAAGAAACTGTTTCTAAATGACTAAAACTGGCTCAGGTAAAATCTATTTGCCAGCTCTGGACTTGATGTTTGTTAGTATTTTTTCTTAGCTCTGCTAAGTAATATCACCTTTCTTATGGAATTGAGAATTTTTATGGTATGCTGGAATATATATATATATATACACACACACACACACACATATTCACATTAAATTGTTCATTAGAGATCAACACTCAGGTCCAAACCATATATGGGTCTTTTGTTAGAGAAATGAGATAATAAGCAATACTTAAAGTTGTCACAAATTCAATTAATGTTGAAAAAGCTTTTCATCCACGTTGGAAATGTAACCTGACTCGGGCTTCATTTCATTTCAGATTTGAAAATTCATCTCCAGACCACTGATTATGGCAACTTCTTGAACAATCAAACAAATCCTCTTACTGTTTCCAAAATTGACACCGAGATGAGGCAGAAGCTGTGCAGAGAATTTGACTACTTCCGGAACCATTCCCTGGAGCCGCTCAGCACCTTTTTCACCTACATGACGTAAGTGACAATAGGAAGCCCCATTAAGCCCCAAAGTGATTGTGCAAGTGACCCCCAACAGTTACAGCGAGGTATTAGGACAGAAGGAAGCCCAAGAAATTTTCCCTTGTTTTGAACCTGAATATATTCTAGCTCCAGCAACTGATAAATTCACAGTGCCACATTATATATGTGTGGTGATGGCCTTTTCTAAAGTAATGCTTTCACTTTTCATTTGTAAAAATAACAAATAGTGCTGATGCTTAAGGTTACAACTGAAAGTAAACATATTGTGAAATTTTGAATGACTATTGAGATATCATAAATTTTTCATAAGGTCCTATCTACCTCTCCTGATGATCCTTGTAACAGTGTAAGTAGTCCCTGTTGTCATTAGGGGATATTACTTTTTTTTTAACCGGTGGTTCCAGTTTTTCAATGTGTGGACTCTTCACTCTAGAAAATGTGTGGTGTCCTCGCTTTGGCAGCCCATAGACTAAAAAAATGTTTGAACTTTTACACAATTGTAAATTGTACTTCTATTAATACAGCTAACATTAAATCCAGTGCTCACATGGGCCATTTGAAACATACTGCGTTGCTCTAGTTGTCCTAGCTAACAAGCTGAGAAAAAAGATTCACAGTAGATGAGCTGTGAATAATGCAGATAAAATTTAGATGTAAGGTACAGAACTATAAATGTTAGGGCTGGCATTTTGGAGTAGCAGGTAAAGCCACCGCCTGCAGTGCTGGCATCCCACATGGACCTGAGTTCATGTCTCGGCTACTCCACTTCTGATCCAGCTCCCTGATAATATCCTGTAAAAAGCAGCAGCAGATGGCCCAAGTGCTTGGGCTCTTGCTACCCACATGGGAGACTTGGAAAAACCTCCTGGCTGTTGGCGTAGGGCTGATCCAGCCATGGGTGTTGCACCCATCTGGGGAGTGAATCAGTAAATGAAAGATCTCTGTCTCTCCCTTTCTCTCTCTGTAACTCTGAGTCTCAAATAAATAAATCTTTAAAAAAAAAAAAGGAACTATGAAAGTTTAGATGTCAGGTATAAACTGCAGGTATAAACACAGAGACAGAGAGAAATCTTCCATCCACTGGTTCACTCCAAATGTCTATAACAGCCAAGGCTGAGCCAGTCCAAAGCCAGGAGTCTGGAACTCAATACAGCTCTCCCACATGTGTGACAAGGACAAAGTACCTCACATGTTACCCCTCAAGGTGCATGTTTAGCAGAAAGCTGGGTCAGAAGAGGAGGAGACGAAACTTGAACCAGGCACTCTGATATGGATTGCGGGCATCCCAATCAGTGAAGTTATTGCTGTGCCAACTTACTTGGCCTGCTATTGAAGATTTTCCATAATCTGGCTGTAGTTCAGTTCTGTAGTCTCCTCTCTCTGTTTCTCCCCCACTCCCACTTTCTGGCATGTCCCAAATCCAAACTGGCCTGCCACTCATGCAGGTGCCACCCTTCCCATTTACGTGCTTCAACCCCATGAACTGAGTGGAAGAAGCAGAACCAAATTCTACCCTTTTTCCAGGCTCAACAACAATGACAGCCCTTCTGGGAAGGCTTTCCAGAATTCCTGGACTGGGAATATCCAAATTTATGTCCAATCTTCATTCCTGACTCAATGTATATTTATAAATTCTTCAAAAAATATCAGCATCTTTGCTTTGCCTACAAATAACCATCAGAGGCAGGTTCAAAGAGACAGGATGAATGTGTAAGTGGCTGAGGTGCTTTCTGAATGGACAGTATCGCCTCTGTTTCATTGACTGTGTTTGGGAACATGCGCTTCTTCAAGGACAGGGAAGAAAACAACCAGGCCTATCTGCCCAAGAAGACACTCCTTCTATCTGTCCCTTCTTCATTTCTCCGTCATCCATTCGACAGCATACAATGGTTCTGTCTTTGAGTCCAGTGAGTAAGAGAATAGAACTAAGAGCATCCAAATGTATCTGCTAAGCTGAACAAAGCTGGGTGTGTTCTAATTGCTACCCATGACTATAGTTTGAGGAGAAAATAATATGGCAGTCAGCAAGCCTTCTCACACAGTAGCAGATATTTCTTGGAACCTCACTGTGACAACCAGAAAACATTCCACAAACACAGAGCTGCATCCCAGGTCTTTGACACAAAAGAAAATCAGTATAAACTTTCTATTATTGATAGTGGGCAAGACCAGAATTAAAGGAAAGCCCTTCTCTTTGAGATTTCATATCAGATCATTTTGTTTGAGGATGCACTTTACTTAGTGAATAATATCTTTAGGAAAGAAATCAAGGGACATGATTACAGTCTTCCGAAATTTTGTAAAAGCACAAAGTAAAAGTCCCAGCTGCCTTATATATCCCCTTCTTCTATACTCAATTTTTTGCTCCCCAAATAATTTCTCATTTTCTTATGTGTTTGTTCTAGAAAAATCCTTACATTTGTATATATCTATTGGTATATACTCCTCCCACTCCATCTCCAAGTTTTAAATTACACTAATGGAATCATTACTTCAGCAGTTTTTTCCTACTAAATATTTCTTAGAAATATAATTATCACTGTTTTTCAATTTTTAGCCTCTATCTTTTATTTGTTAGCTTCTGAATATTTTACTCTGCTTAGAAAGTCTTCTCCACTCTAAATTCATAAATAAATTCATTTGTCTTTTTTTCCATTCATGTGTTGTTGGTTTTGCTTTGCTTTGTTTTTTATGCTTAGGCTTATCTTACAGTATATTTCAGTGTATAGAATGAGACTAGGAATTTAGCTTAAATTATTTTTCCGAACAGCGCTCCAATTGTTCCTGTCCCATTTCTAAAAATAAGCAAGTAGAAGACACGATCCTAGTCAAGGAAGGAAATCATTGTTGACATAACTCAGTGCTGATGTTCCTTCTTTGCCATCACTACTCCTTCTACAATCACCATGGGTTAAGGTTATCCTCACCATTTTATTTGTAGGCAAAGCAAAGATGCTGATATTTTTTGAAGAATTTATAAATATACATTGAGTCAGGAATGAAGATTGGACATAAATTTGGATATTCCCAGTCCAGGAATTCTGGAAAGCCTTCCCAGAAGGGCTGTCATTGTTGTTGAGCCTGGAAAAAGGGTAGAATTTGGTTCTGCTTCTTCCACTCAGTTCATGGGGTTGAAGCACGTAAATGGGAAGGGTGGCACCTGCATGAGTGGCAGGCCAGTTTGGATTTGGGACATGCCAGAAAGTGGGAGTGGGGGAGAAACAGAGAGAGGAGACTACAGAAGTGAACTACAGCCAGATTATGGAAAATCTTCAATAGCAGGCCAAGTAAGTTGGGCTTTATTACATCAGCATGTTTTTCAAATGTATGTGTGTGTCTTATTGTGTTGGTGTCTGAAGGAACCTTACTAACACAAACATCTTTAGTAAGGAGAAATGCAAAACATAAAAGAGATGGTATAAGAGGCCAAGTTTGCTCATGGAACTCTCATCCTCCCATTAGCGGTTGAGGTGAAGTAAAATATTGAGGCTTTGGAATGAATGAAACCCAAGTTGAGTTCTAATCTTCAACAGTCGTCCCCAAGCAGGGATCCCTCCTTCAAAAGTGCCTGTTCTGCATAACTACAGAGGCGTCACTGATTCCTGAGCTGAAGGATAAAATGGCCCTCGCTGTGTGGAAGTAGAAATGATGATCAAAATAGAAAGCAACATTCATGCAACGTTACCACTTGCTGGCAGCTGTGCTAAGTACTTTACAAACATCTCACTTAACCCTCCTGAAAGTCTAACTTGATTCTTATCACCATCCTGAAAATGAGGAAGCTAAAAGTTAAGTGCAGTAAATTGCCTGGATCTCAACTGTAATAAGTGAAGAGTCAAGATTGGAAGTAAATGTTGGCAGTAGGCTTATAAAACTATTCTATTCAATTTTAGTTGAGGTCAGAGATTCTGACCATGGTGATAACAAAGAATAGCCCCATTTTAACTGAGTTGAAAGCTACCAGGTTTTATACTTTTGAGCTGAGGTCAGACCTCACATAAAGGGAATTTTCCCAAAACATGCTGGGAAATGCACTAGTTCCAAGAATGACTGTGAGTCATTTGGGCAATAGTTCTTCTTATGTGATGATCTCACTGATTCATTGTTTCCTAATCACAGAATCTTAGATATGGAAGGAACCTTAGCATTGATTGAACAAGCATCCTCCTTTCATAATAAACTACCACGCTGAGACTTCCTTTACTATAAAAAACATATTAAAATGCACTGTTTCTTTAAAAAAGATTGCTTAAAATTCCTTATTTCTAGTCATTATCAGGATGTTTAAAATTGGAATACAAGGACACAGGTAATCACAAAGCCCTGAGTAGAAGGTTGATACAAAGTTAGAATTGCAAAAGTAGTTTTTGTTGTATTAATATTGTTACTAATGGATATATTTTAATTTATCTACCCTCCTATTGGCTATATACTCTTTTAATTCATCCTTTTTGTATCTCTATCTGGACTTGTCAGTATATAGTGGTCTTTAAATATTGCCGACTCAATATATAACCCTGTATTTAGCAGCAACTTACACAGAGCTAAAAAATACATACAAAAAACTCAGTGTTTTATATTTTATATGGCACTTGAATATTGGTTATTTATTGCCCAATATGTTAGAAATAAGAAGTGGATATCACACCAACGGATAGATTCTGTGAGGTCAATTTAGTGTGTTTTTTAAATTAATACATTTATCCAGGGTTTATATTCTCCAATTAGTCTCTGTCTACAACACTCTTTGGTCTCACAAGCTCCATGTAGCCTGCTTATCAGACCCCTAAAGAGATTTACTTCAAACTAGAAGCGTTACTTGGATCGCTACACGAGAACTCTGCAAAGGTGCTTCTATCTCCATTTTTAAATTAGAGAAACTGAGGGTCAGTGAATTAATATTTTGCCCAGATCACAAAAGTAAGACTAGACAGGAATTCCACTCCAGTCCATCAGTCTAGAAAGGTAGTGATCTTGCCACCACTCCGGTAGTT